TTATTGTTTGCTTTATTTTCCTGATTTTGAAGGAACAATAAAAGACTGTTTTATTTTTACAAATGCCTGGTTGATGATCCTGGGCTCCCAATATTACACTTCATTACTTGATTCTTGTGGTGACTAAATAACAATAGACACAGTTACCCTTAACTATATTTGAACTTGGCTTCCCACCATGGCACTTAGGCAAGAATTATGTCACGACCCTTATGATAAGATCCTGAGAGAATTCTAATGATCCCAAATCAAGAGGCTCCTGTATTCTGCTGTAACACCTTCTCATGGGATTTTGGATATGTATGGAAGTATATTTATTATCTTTTCTATTTTTCTTTTTTATTTCATAAAATGGGGGACACTATTTAATAAGAAAATCATGCATTGAGTTGCACATTGCCCTTTATTAGTTCTTCTATCCTATCGGAGACAGAGCTTATCTGGTTTGATTGTCTGCAGCAGCTAACAAGAACAGCAGAGCAAGTGCTGGGTTTCCTATTTTTCTGTAAACACTATATCATGCAAAACATCAGTTTATAAACTGGTAAACTGTAAAAACAGCAACATAAATTGACCATAAACCATTTTATTTTCCCTTTAACTTGCAATCCTTAAGCCATATATTAGACCAAAGCATAAAAATCCTTTTTTACAGTCTCTTTAAATTTAAATCTACAGTACAGACCCTGTAAGTGGCTGAATTAACATGTAAGTAAACTCTAACAATGAAAACGTCTCTTATATTCTCTCTTTTTTGGTCTGGTAAAAAACCATTGGAAGTGTTTTGTTATATCTGTGCAAAAAATACCTGTTTATTTTGCCAGAAATCTTGTAAACTGATAGGAGTTATGAAGATGAGGGGGGTGGAGATGAGGGGAAGTTTGTGCTTTTTTATAGTGCGTCAAAAACCAAATTGTCAGTGCTGACACCACATGTGCTATCATGTCAAAGCAGAATGTAGGAGCATACTGTATTTGTGGCACATCAATAGTTATTTTTCTGTACTTTTAGTGTGCTTAAAAGAATGAAACATGGGAAATGTGCATGTATTCCAGAGATATGTTAAATATTTTTTTTTTTTGCCTTAACATATGCTTTGAGTAGGGAAAGAAAAGACGATAAGGCTAGGTTCACACTAATGCGGTGCTGTACATCGCATGCGATTCGCACAGGAACCGCACTGCATTCCTGTGCAAATCACATGCGATTTGTGTGCGGTGCGATTGGAGCCATACAATATGCATGGCTAAAATCGAACCGCATCCTCACCAAAAAGATGTAGGACCCTTTTTTGGGTCCGCACTAGAATCAGATTGCATGGGTATTCGCATCTATGCGATCCGATTCTGCACATCGCACCGTGTTTTGCAGACCGCTTTCGGGCTGTTGTTAACTTAACATATACACCTGCATCGGTTCACATGAACAGGGTGCGATTCTGATGTGGTGCGGAATTCGCACAGAAAACGCCGCATCAGTGTGATCCCAGCCTAAAGAAAGAAATATGTGCCATACCTTTATGTTGTTCATGGATGAAGACAATCCTCGGTCAGCTTATTTATGTAGTCCATTAATTTGCAAAACTTACATTTCAAATAAAGATATAAAAAATGTGTATTGTATTATATTACCCTGTTTTTGTCCTGTGAGACCAGAAGTGACAATATACTGCAATGGAATATTGCAGGAAATTAATACACCACTAACATCCTCAACAGACAGCTTGATTTCTTGCATCTTTTTGTACCTCCATCCAAACTTCCCTCCATTCTGCTGTGCTTCCTGTTTTTTTTTTATAAATTTGTCTTTTCATACATTTGACATGAAAACCCAAGTGTTTTCTTGAAAAACTGAAATACTTTATTATTAAATATAAAAGTGCTGCTTTGTAATTGTTTTTTTTTTTCAATGTTGAAGAAGGCCTGGTTTACACTTGGTGTGACTTGAGTCGTACAGCATTGCATGACAAGAGAAAATCACGTTATATTCAATGGTGCTTGTTCACATCAATGCGACTCTGTGCGCTGCACTTTTGGAAAAGGTTTATTTGCTACTTTTGTGCGATTTACAGTGCGATTTGGTATATGCAAACCACATCCAAAAAGCAACCAAAGTTTCATCAAAGTCATAATTGTACTGCAAACTGAGTCAAAATCGCATCACAGTAAACTGAACAGGCCAAAAAGCTGTCCTTTAACGTGCAGTCATTTGTGGTATGTTTACAACTTAAAATGGTTTTAAGGCTGGAAAAGGCTGAAGGTTTTTTTTACCTTTATGCATTCTATGCATGAAGATACAAAACCTTCAGTGTGCAACTGCCTCCTTAGTCCCACACAACTTACCTGAGCCCGATCTTGATCCAGCGATGTGCATGAGAGCAGCAGCTTTCCAGGGTCTCTCTCGCCTCATTAGCTCAGACACAGCAGCAAGACCCATTGGCTCCTGCTGTTGTCAATCACAGACAGTGAGGAGGGAGTGGGGAGAGGGACCAAATCATGATCTGTTTATCTTATAGATTCAAAAATCTGCCCTGAAGAAGCCGTGAGGACGAAACATGTAGGGAGTAACTACAATTATATAATCAAGTTTGAATCTCAGTTCCACTCTTAGTATTGACATTGTTTTTATGTCTCTGTATTTTTTCCTTTTTTGTTTTTTAAAAAATATGAAATAAAAATTATATAACTTGTTAATATGTTTGGTATTCATGTTCATGCACCCTGAAAGTCCCATCTTCTCTACTGAATATTTACAGTTTTAAGGGATATGGTACAATAATCATATCTGGTCACTCGTTCGCCATTTTACTGTTGTCTTATAGACACACAAAGGCGGCTCGGGAGAGAGCACACACGAGTGCCCCCGAGGGGGGGGGGCAAGCAGAAGTGCCAGTTAGGATCCCGAAAAGAGGAGGATTGGGGCTGTTCTGTGCAAAACAGGTGAGTATGATATGTTTGTTTTTATTTTTTTTTAATCTGAACCTTTAGTATCACTTTAAAGCAGTAAACCCAAACTAAATGACATTAAGCTTTATGAAATACTGTGTATCAAAACCAATTTCAACAAATGTTCCTTTTTATTAAAGCTTACTAAAACATTGTGTATCATAACCAATTTCAACAAATGTTCCTTTTTGATATAACTTTCTAAAACATGGTGCAGGGGCGGACTGACAACTCATGGGGCCCCCGGGCAATAGGGGATCATGGGGCCCCTGTGTCCTTGCCCAAACTCAAAAAAGCATATGAAAAAGGTACCAGGGGCATCTCATGGGGCCCCCTACTGACCCCAGGCCCTCGGGCAGTGCCTGAGTTTCCAAATGGTCAGTCAGCCACTGACATGTTGTATCATACCCAATTTCAATAAATGTTCCTTTTTAAAATAACTTGCTAAAACACTGTATATCATAACCAATTTCAACAAATGTTCCTTTTTAATATTGTATTTATTTTCTTTTTTCATCCTTTTTTCATGTTGCTGCTGATCCTCTGCATGCACTATAGTGAAGGATGCATAGCCTCATGACATTTTTCCTGATGGGGACCATGGCTGTGTAATGTGTGTGAAATGGCCTCTTGTAGCCTTCCTCTAAAGCTTGGGTGACATGGTGACAACACAAGAGCACAAATGGAAGTATGGGATAAGGCATTATCAACCTATACTAGTAAGTGTCTGAACAAGGACCTTTATGGCAGGATCAACCAACATTATTTCAATGTAAGTTAAATAAAGAAAAAAGAAAAATATTGATGAATTTATATTTAAAACATGTTAAAGAATAAATCAGATTTTAGTTATTCAATCGCTATACGTATTTTAGTGATTCATTTTATATACACGTTAATCAAAAATTTTTGAACTTTCAAAGTATACTATTATAATTGAAAAGTTACTTGCCCTGTTGCAGACTTTCTTTTATCCAAAACTCTATTGTTGATAGGAAGACTGCAACAAAATAACAAATGTGATAAAACTACAGAATCCATGCATTCAAAATCATGTAAGAAACTGACTTTAAAAAGAAAAGTGTTAGAATAACTGCTAAGAATTACTGAACACGAAAACAGAAAATTTGCATTGTAAACGTTTCATTCATTTCTTATTTCACACACGCACAAGAGCACTGTATTTCTATTTATATAGAGCTTTTGTAGGTAAGCATGTGACTGAATAAATGACACAGTGGGGTTCCTTCAAGTCAAAGAAAGGGAAAAATTGTTTGGAACAATTTGCATTAGTTCAAGGGTAACCTTGAGCACTTTACAGATGGTTTATTGCCATTCTTGTGCTGGTTAAGCTGTCTTTCATGTCAAAAGTCTTTTCCTGCTTTCTGATCAACAGGAAGAATTGTGGCTGCCATGCTGTTCACCTAAGCTCCTGCAGGGGCTCTTTTCCTTTGATCACTGATATCGTTTGCAATCGAGTTAAAATAGGGGGCTGCTGTGATAAGCCGAGACTCTGACAGCGAACAAGAATTTTCCCTTTCCATTTAAACAACTTCTTTTCTTCTCAGGTCTTGGGAACAGTTAATCTCAACACAGAGGGACCAGTGTTTAGGGCTGATGTAAGGATGGGAGAGTCTGGTGTTTTTTTCTTTCACTAAAAGTAAGATATTAACAATCCAAAAATATGTGAGCAATTAAGCAAGGCTTGAAATGAACTTGAATAATATTGCCATTTTTAAATTATAACTTTGCATTTCTGAATTTCCCTTTTTTAAAAAAAATATTTATCAATACTCTTTATTTTTTTTAATATATTGCTAAATTCATATATCGGTTTTAAGAAATTAACGTGATTTCAAAAGTCATTTTCAAAATGTTTAGATGATATGCAGCTTTTAATAAAACATTTTCTGTAACCCTAACATGAAGATTCTTTTTAAGGCATTCCCTATTATGTGACAATGCTGTGTTCCTTTTTCCCAAATTTACTCCTGCATTGTAACCCTGTCAAACGTCTGATGGAGACCACAAGTGGTCATTTCAATATTCATGCATGGTCCACTATTGTCATCATCAGGGGCGGACTGACTATTTGGAAACTCGGGCACTGCCTGAGGGCCCGGGGTCAGTAGGGGGCCCCATGAGATGCCCCTGGTACCTTTTTCATAGGCCTTTTTGAGTTTGGGTAAGGACACAGGGGCCCCATGATCCCCTATTGCACGAGGGCCTCATGAGTTATCAGTCCGCGCCTGGTCATCATCAAGAAATTCAACCCCCCAAATAAGTAATCGCTGGAAATTATGCATGGTCTACTATTATCATCAAGAAACTCACCTCCGAAAAAAGTAATCGCTGGAAATTATGCATGTAGACAAGAAGTGGTTCCAAACAAGTTACAAAAGATTAACAGCACTGAGATCTACAAAAGGATGAAAAGAGCAGAAAACAAGTTTTTCTTTATTAAAAAATGGCACCTGTTTATGATATACCATGCTTTGGCAAACTAAGGGGATGATTTACTAAAAACAAAAGGATTGCAGGGGCGGACTGACCATTTGGAAACTCGGGCACTGCCCGAGGGCCCAGTGTCAGTAGGGGGCCCCATGAGATGCCCCTGGTACCTTTTTCATAGGCTTTTTTGAGTTTGGGCAAGGACACAGGGGCCCCATGATCCCCTATTGCCCAGGGGCCCCATGAGTTGTCAATCTGCCCCTAATGGATTGTTTACTTTGCCAGAGACGTTGCACTTTTTGTTGCACTGGGTATTTTCCCCAAATCTTTGTGAATGCAGTGACTTTCATCATCTACTCAAGAGCAAGCAAAACTGCTGTTATTTTCTTTTCCCTTGTACATGATTAGATTATGGAAGTCAGTAGACCTTCAGTCATTTCATTTTATATGTAACATAGAAGTAGAAAAGGCATACATACAATATATACACATTTTATTGTATCACTTTTTTTGCCAGCAAAAATGTTTGAGGTTTTACATGTAGTACAGGTCAAGTCAAAATAATACATTGTATAGGCATAAAATAGGCACAATTGTAATAACAGACAGGGAGTACAAAGAAGTAGATCCACAAATTTTAGGCTGCAATTCACCAAATACAGCTATACTCAGGGGTGTCCCTACGCAGGTGCGGGGGGTGCATGCCGCACTGGGTGACACCTACTGCACGGGGTCCCCGCAGGATGGATCAGATCTGCAGACTGAGCACAATGGATCGGAGTCCGATCCATTATGCTCCCCAATCCGCAGATCCGATCCATCCTGCGGGGATTGTCAGCTTGCTTTACAACTTAATTTTTCGTGGAGCGGGTCCGGTGTCACCCCTTATAGGTTGCATACCGACGATCCCCGCAGGATGGATCGGATCTGTGGATTGGGGAGCATAATGGATCAGACTCTGATCGATTATGCTCAATCTGCAGATCCGATCCATCCTGCGGGGATTGTCAGCATGCAACCTATACGGGGTGACACCGGACCCGCTCAACGAAAAGGTAAGTTGTAATGCAAGCCGACGATCCCCGCAGGATGGATCAGATCTGCAGATTGAGCATAATGGATCAGAGTCCGATCCATTATGCTCAATCCACAGATCCGATGCATTCTGCGGGGATCGTCAGAGGGGGTGTCACCAAGTGTTATCGCACCGGGTGACACCAACCCTAGGGATTCCCCTGGCTATACTATTCCAGAATTGTTAGGAATAATTGAGGGGGGGGGGAGGGGGAGTAATGCAGAGACAGAAACGAGGAAAGGGGCAGAGGGTAAGAAGGGGGAAATAAAAATAAAAGGCAGCAGTCAAGTGCTCCCACAAAGGTCATAGAAAAACTTTGTCTAGCCTGAACTGTGACCTGTGATACACCAATAATATGCTAAAAGTCATCAGCATGAAACAGTGATCCCTTCGGCATCTATTCAGTTGGACCAAATGTTTTGAATTTTTGGGGGCAGTTAACAGTTCTTCTACTATTTCAGTTAACATATGCAGTTGCATATGTTAACTGAAATAGTATAAAGAACTGTGTTTGTGGCCATCTTCCACTCTGCCATAGTGGCGGCTGGGGAACCTTCCACTATTGTATCACTTTTTTAATTGCAGGACATAGAATCCAAGGATGGTACTTGCAGTGTGTATTACTGGACAGAGCAATGTAATTGCCATAGCTTTAGGCTGTATAATAGTAGAATTCCACCTGCTTATAAAGAGCAGCAACTCACCTCATCGAACAATAATTCCAACAGGCTACTTTATAAAGAAGCAATATACTCAAACTGGCATGCCATTTTCTGCATATGCTACTTTTGGGAACCTGGGCTATATTTTTTTTATTTAAAAGGTCAAAAGACTAACCAACATATTAGAAGAATGGCAAACAAAAGTGTTTACATAATAAAAAGGCCTGTTTCAGTAAAAAAAAAAAGTGCTGAACTAGAACAAACCACAGGTATAGGAAGAAGCTCTATTACAGGTAATTGCATGTCACAGTGACATACTAAACATGCAAACATTTTGTTCTCAATAGCCATGTACATCTTTTTACAAACGGGGCATAATTAAATTAGATGAGGAAAAGTAGCCAAAAGATGATGGAAAAAGTTTAGACTTATTTATATACTTAATGTGTTACTAAACCCAGGACCCTGCATTCACTATATCTCGTCTGCCACAGTACACAGAACATGCAAATGCAATTATTTTAGTAAATATAAACTGCTAAATACCTTTTCTCATCAGCAGTTAGAGCAGTCTTGTGACTTCTATCAGTGTCCAGCCAAGCACTGGTTAAAGCTTGTAGGAGGAGTTTTCTTTCTGCTCTAGGATGATGCAGAACCCCTGGCCTTTGTCTGGACAATGCTGATTGGCCCTGTGCCGATCACATGCACTCTCCCAAGAAAAAAAAACCTCTCTAGCAATACACACTAAACTGAGCATGTGCAGAGTGTCTCCACACCATATGTCTTATCAGGAGATAAGAGGGAGACACTGGAAAAAGGGGAGGATCAGAGAAGTCAGGATCAAACAGCGTTTTTACACAATGCAGAGGATTAGCCCCTTAGGTTCCACAGTGAGTATAACAAGCATGCTTTTTTGCACATACAGACTGATTTTACTGTTGTGGGTTTATGAACACTTAGTGGGTGCATCATGAAACTCCTAAAACCAAAACATGCTAGGCACCATGGAGAGTATTTATATAAAATTACTATATAGAAACAGTATAGATTTCTCCCTATTTTGAGTGGAAACTGGCTGGAGCTTTCAGTTCAGATACTCACAGAATTAGTATATATAAAAGGTAGCTACCCTTTTTGCAAAAAAACCCCCAAACTATTAGTGTGTAGATACAGTAAACCCCAAATCTTTCTTCCAGTATGCGTAGCATTATGTGTAACTGTGTGAATATTTCTAAAACTGTATGTTGACTCCAGTAGTGCACTTTCCTTATTTGCTTCTTTTTGCGCTGTTAAAATTGTCTTTCACTTCATCTTGCACATGCACAGTATCACAGACATTCTTATAATGGTGTCGCAGGAACAGTGACACAGTCAGCACAGAGGCAGGAAAAAAAAGGACGTATGAGAAAAAGTCACAGGATATAGGCAAGCATGATTGTTTTTTTTCCCAGTTGTCAAAGTTTAGGCAGGTAGAGACTGCAGTATATCCTGCAACCTTAAGGTGGCACTATGCTGTTGCGCAGGCTGGAAGGAGCCCATTGAGGACAAGTTGATCCCTGCTATGGACTATAGGTGGCTTTCTTGGGAAGGACAGCAATGCTATTGGATACTGAAATCCTGTAAGATTTAGACAGCCATCTTGACTGAGGATTTTGAGATATAGTGGAATGCTACGTTATTTAGGATGCCAACAGAGTGGGAATAGGAAAGGTATAGAACTCTGCTGTATAACTTACTAATAGGAAGAGAGTAGAAAAAGTATTAGGGAGAGGTACTTGTTGAGGAGGGAAAGAGTAGGTTTCGGCTGGGACACCTCCTTTCAGGGGTTTTTATAATATTGCACCATGAAGTCTTTCTGTTTCTCTCTCGAGGCTTGGCATTTCCCCCCATGGATACGAAGGTGGTCCTTTTTCAGTGGAGAAGTGGATTTTCGATTAACTACAAAGTTTTTCGTCCTATTTCGATCAGCTGAGATACCTGCATGGGACATTTCAAGGGGATCACAGTGTGACTTTTATTTTTTTTGCACCAAAGAGCTGTGGTATTGGTATATATATATTTTTCTGGACTTATGAGGGAATTTCTTTGCTTTCTGCTCAATAAGAGAGGTCTTGTTAATCAGGGTGTTTCCTCTGTTCCAAGAACCACCTCAGGGACATTTGGGGATCACAGTGTGACTTATATCATAGAGCCTTTAAAACCGAACACATATTAATTACACAGGTTCTGTGGCTGATTAAGGTGGTAATTAACTGCTTAAGGACCGCCCTATAGCAGATAGATTTTTAAACATTTTTTACTGGACATGTTTAATAGCAAAAAGTCCAAAATATTGTTTTTTTCTCAAAATTGTCAGTCTGTTTTTGCTTATAGCGCAGAAAAAAAAAAAAAAACGCACAGACGATCAAATTTGATTTTTTATATTTTTTTACTGGACATGTTTAATAGCAAAAAGTCCAAAATATTATTTTTTTTCTCAAAATTGTCAGTCTTTTTTTGCTTATAGCGCAAAAAATTAAAAAACGCACAGACGATCAAATTTGATTTTTAATATTTTTTTACTGGACATGTTTAATAGCAAAAAAAAGTCCAAAATATTGTTTTTTTCCTCAAAATTGTCGGTCTTTTTTTGCTTATAGCGCAAAAAAAAAAAAAAAAAAAAATGCACAGACGATCAAATTTGGTTTTTACAGTTTTTTTACTGGACATGTTTAAAAGCAAAAAGTCCAAAATATTTTTTTTTTCTCAAAATTGGCAGTCTTTTTTTACTTATAGCGCAAAAAATTAAAAACACACAAACGATCAAATTTGATTTTTACAATTTTTTTACTGGATGTGTTTAAAAGCAAAAAGTCCAAAATATTGTTTTTTTTCTCAAAATTGGCGGTCTAATTTTGCTTATAGGTCAAAAAATAAAAAACGCACAGACGATCAAATACCACTGAAAGAAAACTCAATTCGTAGGGAAAAATGGACGTACATTTTATTTGGGTGCAGCGTTGCATTACCGCACGATTATAAGTTAAAATAGGGCCGCAACACAA